CAAATTATTATTACTATCCCTAGAAAATGGGGCTCAGGAGTTCAGAGATAACTAAATGACAACCAGGCTGGAACCTAAAAGCTTTTCAAATTCAGGGTATTTATTTTTACTATACTACTTCACACTGAACTGGATTCTTATTTACATTCCCAAGTAAGAGAGATGATTCACTTATATACTGTTTGAGAGGAGACAAGCACAGAATGAAGAAATGTAATTTTATAAAGCTTTAATTCTTCCAAACACCAAAAAACCAAATTTGAGTATTTAAGCACCCAATCAAAACGAATGTACATCACTATGTAGCAGACGGTTTCAAACACTTTACTCCTAAGTCATTGTTTAAACCTTACTTTAATTCTATGAAACAGGATGGTGTCTCTATTTTACAAATGACTATGCTGAAACACATAGAAGTTAAAGACCTTAGGCAAGCTCGGTGAGCTGCAGAAACAGGGTTCAAAGGAGTAAGCAAAGGTTAAAGGAGTAAGGTCAAATATGCACTGAAAAAGATCGAGGGATCAAAAATAACTAAGAATCTTGAAAGAATCTCTACAGAAAGAAAACACACTTTTATATTTTAAATTCTACAAATAATCACAAGTAATCAGTTACTTTCTTTTGTCAAATACAGTAATAATGAACCTAGTATAACAATGAGAACAGTTTAAAATGACTCTTCTATTGTCAATCAAACAAGTAGCAAACAAAATTATGCTCTAAAAAAATAACGGATTGAAATTACATGCCAACATCAACAATACCATCACCTAAAAAAGCACTAGGCAACCATCAACAATTGTCAATAAGAAGCAAGTGGGCAGTACACATAAAGGTCACAGTATAGTATTGCCGGCAACATCAAAGGTGAGTTGTGGCTAGGTTACCTGGGAAATTTTTTCAAAATGTTCAGAACACCTAAAATTTGTAAGGTTTCAACCTCAGCACAATGATAAATACTTGCAAAGTTATGAGTAAATGATTACCAGAAACTGGTTATAAACATTATTACAGTTGTTTTGAGAAAAAAAGGGGGGGGGCGGGATTTAGCTCAGTGGCATAAGCGCCTGCGTGGTAGTGAGTTCGATCCCTGGTATCGATAATACATAAATAAATAAATAAAATGACAACTCCAGCAAAATATCATTCAAAGGAATTTCTCCTCACAACTGTACCTCTCAAAAAACAGCTACAATTTAGGAACTTTGAATTTAACAATACAGCTGGGTATGGTGGCACATACCTATAATCCCAGCACTCGGGAGGTTGAGGCAAGAGGATTGTTGCAAATTTGAGACCAGCCTGGGCTACAAAGTAAGCTCAAGGGCAGTCTGAACTGCACAACTGGATCCTGTCTCAAAAAAGAAAAAAAAAGCAATACATAGCACCCACAACTGAAATATCTGTTATAATCTTAAAGCTCTCCAAGTGCAAGAAGCCACAACTGAGGACCACTGTTGAAAGGCATTCCAAACATCTCATATTATTCATTTTGCACATGGTGCTGTAGTCCATAATTGTCAAAAAAGTATTGACATTTTATTCAACCAATTTACAAACAACCAAGTGTAAGACAAATTGGACCCTTCACCACCATAGTGTAAATTTTATGTACACTTAGCTCAAAACGTTAAGATGAAAATACAGGCAAAAGGATTTCATTAATGTTTTAGATAAGAAAGTTCAATTAATGTATCAAATATGCTAGTAACCGAGCTACCTTTATTTTCCAAACCCTAGATTTCACATATTGTGAAATGGTACCAAGCTTTCTAATGCACTCAAGTGTCTAGCCCCAAAGAACCACATTTTCAACTTTGAATCTGAAAGTCTAATATGTCATGAAAAGAGAAAAAGCAAAATAAAAACTTCTTAGACACAAACTTAAAGATGTATATTTGAAAAGCAAGTCTTTTCATGCAAAGGATCTATCTGAAAAGTTAGGACTGTCAGAACTCTGAAATTCAAACTCACGCCCCTGACTACTTAATAGTTTCACAAGAAAACTAGGCATCAAAAACTATTAAAACATGAGTTTTATATTCACCAAAAACTACATGTCCACATTCTACATTCAGAAGCATTAGAATTCAAAACTTTTCAGATTTTAGAAAATGTTTCTATCTTAGCATGCCCTAAACAGTCTAAAACAGCACCAATAACAAATCAATATTCCAAAAAGAAAATGCAATAATTTTCTAAGTGAGATGAATGAAGATTACTAACTAGCCTAACTGTGAGTTAGCATTTTGCTACAAAACTTGGGAGAACATTGTTTTTTAGAGCTTTATATGAACCTGTAATTCAAGATTTCACTTTGATACTCAGGACATTCCAAGTGGACTTCTGAAGGAAGCTCTCAAGATGAAATCATCTTTGTAACACTACGTCATTCTAAAGAAACAACTCAAGTTATGGCAAACCTATAAAAAAACTGCAAACAGTGTCCAACAATCTTTAATGACTAGAATGACATTTAAGTGTCCTCCTTAATTTCCATAAGGAAATTTTGGGCAAGACCAAACAAATACACTAAATGTGTATAGTTATGAAGTTTACAACGAAGAGTCAGTATAAAAATGAGAGACAAATCTACTTCCAATTTTCTGTGTATGATTTTCTGTCTATGATTTTCTGTCTATGAGTATGGAAACAAAGGGCTAACATGGAGCTAAAATGGGGGCCAGGCAAGAAGCCTGTAATCCCAGCACTCAGGAGGCGGGCGCAGGAGGACTGCCTTGAGTTCAAGGCCAAGCTGGACTACATAAGGAATTCAAGGTCAGCTTAGACTACATAGCAAGACCTTGACTCAAAAAAAAAAAACTTCTAATCCAGGCTCCATCATCCAGAAGTTACTTAAGCCTTCCAAGTTCCAGTTTTTTAATCTGTAAAATGGGGATAAACACAGAACCCATCTTACTGCATTTCTAAAAAGATTAAATCAAGTAACATTTTAAGCCTATGACATACAAGTAGTCAATACTAACTTCCCCCACCTAAGCGTCCATCATTTCCCCAAAGACCACCTGTACCTAACTAAAAGGGTTCCAGTATCACTTGCCCATGATACATTATCAGGCAAATTTCAACACAAAACTCACCATGAAAAATGACTTTCAAATTTCAAAAAGTTTAGTCAGATTAAAGTGATGACTAATTTCTGAAATGAGAACAGCTTTTCAAAACACAGTCTAAGCTGGGCATGGTGGCACCTGCACTCTTGGGAAGCTGAGGCAGGAAGACTGCAAGTTTGAGGCCAACTTGAGTAACTTTGTGGCTTACAGAGACACTGTTTCAAAAATAAGCAAAAAACAACAAAAACCACATGCACATTCTAACCAAACCAACCTATTCTAACACCCTTGGTCTACAATCTAGTGCACACTAAAATGGGTGAAAAGTGAAAATAAACTACTGAAAAATGATCCTTTTAATTTTAAATACCAAGAGAATGGTCTATGTTTGCTAATCAGAAAGCAAGTTACATTAAGACTTCATCACTTATACACAATCACTGTCCAAGAACCCAAGCAATTTAAATACACTTAGGAAAAGACAGAAGTTCAAAAATGCACATTTTAGCTGGGCATGTTGGTGCATGCCTGCAATCCCAGTATATGGGAGGTTGAGGCAGGAGAATCACAGCAAGTTTGAGACCAGTCTGAGCTATTTAAGGAGTTCAAGGCCAACCTGAACTACATAGTGAGAGCTATTTAAAAAAAAAAAAAATCTAAATTTTGTAAACTAGCTACTAAAGGAAAATACTAGTAAGACTTAACTTTGGACAAATTGTTTTCAATGGTTATTTCAAATTACTGTCAAATGTACAAAAAGAAGCTTTTCTTGCTCTTTATCCTAAATTCACTGCATTTTAGCTCCATTATGTAACTCATTAAATTTATCAGGCATTGAAATGTCTCAAACAACTTCTAAACTGACTTCTAAACAATTTCCAGAAGTACAATATATAACTTGGACAACTAAGATCTCCACCACCCTCAGTTTGAGATAAACTTAAAACAACTCTTGTGCAACAGGAAGTTTTCCCTAAATGCTGTCAATACTCAAAAGCCAATAGTTACCGTTAACACTATAACTCACTAGGTGCTTGCAAGTTCCACCAAATTTAAGAATGCCTCATGCCATGTTTTAAGTGAAGTTAAATGAAATCGAACACCACCCAAACATAAAACGCCATGGGGAGGAGGACCTGTTCTTCTGTATTCTAATGCGATAATGTTTAAAGTGAAAAGATTTAGAACTAAAAGCAAATGGGTCAGGCTACCTTACAAGTACTTACGAGATTAATTAAACGAAGATGTAATCCCTCCCACTTGCACTTTTCCCTTTATAAACAGGAAACTCCAAAGGAAATAGAGAAAAGCCTGTTTTTGCAAGGAGGTATTAACGGTACTGCTTCCAACCCCCACTGTAAGTGAACAAATGCAAAAAGCAACCGGAAGTGGTGACGGGAGTGGGCGGCCGGTAAGCTCACTTGGGCGTCCTAAACGCGACACGGCTCTGAGGATGCCCCTAAACATCTGTAACAACAGCTGCAACAGGGAAACGGGGTGTGGGGGTGAAGGGTCTTGGCCGAGGCTGGGGTGAGGGGGCTCTGAATGGGGCCTGAACGCTGGGCTTCCTCCCACCCCAACTCCTCTACCTCCCAGTTTCCACCTCCCCATCCCACCCACCCCGCTCCCTCCAGACAGACACCCAACAAAGCGGAGAAGACAAAGGGCAGCGGGAGGCTGCCAGGGGCGTCCGGAACAAAGGGCGGAGGGTGCGGAGCGAACCTCCCGAGCAGCACGGTGGCGGGGGGACACCGGGGGCCCGCCGGCGTCGCGATGCCGACCGAGGCCCGCAGCGCGCGGTGTCACCGGGACGCGACGGGCCGGGCCGGGCCGGGCCGGGCCGGGCCGGGCCGAGCGGGCGCGACGGCAGGCCCGAAAGTGCTGCGGGGCCTGCGGGGTCCGCGGGCGGCTGCCGGCGGGACTCACCGGCATTCTGATCTCGGGGCCAGAGGTAGTATGTGGCGGGGATCACGATGAGCCCCACGAAGGAGGTGAGGAAGTAGAAGAAGGTGTTCCCGCTGTCATCGTACTGAAACTGCTGCCCAGCCATGGCTCGCCCTCCGCCTCGCTCGCCTCACCGCCGCCGCCCCGACCCCGCACCGCCCGCCCGCGGCTCCCAGCGTCCCGACCGTGTGGCGTAGCTCGGCCGCCGCCGCCGCCGCCGCTCCTCCCCGCCCCCACGCCACCCTCACAGACACGCCGCGGCTGCGACCGTCGCCAGTTCTCGCGAGAGGAGAAAGTTCCCGCCCCGCTGGTTGCTCCCGCCCCCTCCGGTTCAACACAAACTCCGGGAGGCAGACGTGGCGCGCGCTGGAAAACTTTGCGAGGCCCCGCCCTCGGCCACGCCCTAGGCCACGCCCACGCCCGGCCCGCCCCTACCCAGGACCCGCCCCCTTCCTCCTGGATTAGTTTTCCGGAGCTCCTCTCCGGAGTCAGCAGATGATGTTAGAAAAGACGTTCTGGCTCAACTGGTGCGACTGGAGTCCTAGCTATCCGGAGCACAAAAAGGCTTCCTTGACTTCCTTTCATTTCGCCCTCTCGCTTTTAAATTGCTCTGGTAATGTTTCCCCAGCTTCTGACCTGCTCCCGCCCCTCCCACATTTTGTTAAGCAAATATCTTTCAGAACAGAAGGCAGTAAGTGGCTCTAGTTTTGTTTGCAAAGTGGTGTTTGCTGTTAAAAGACTGGGATCCACGCTGCGTCCATTTTGCAGATGGAAATTTGCCTACTGTCCGTCCCACACCTGCTAGTATTTGTGGACACCAGTTAATTCACTAGCGCTTTGTATGACCCGAGAGGTAAGCTTTACTGCGTTGCATCATTTAATGATCAGTAAACGCGGTGAAATAAAGCAATGCGTGCGAGCTCTGCAGATGAGGACACTGAGGTTCAGGGAGATTGGCCAGTCATGCACCGTAAGAGGTCTGAGGATTCAAACTCAGATCAGTCTGATGCCACAAAGCCGGTGCCTTTGACCACCACATCGAATTTTCCTGAGAGCTGCGGTCGTCGTTGTCCCTGCGGGCTGTGGGCTGGAATCTGCGCTGCGGAGGAAGACCCAGGCCATAGGACCTCAGAGACCGGTGACAGCTGAGCTGGAGCAGGGCTTGTGTCCTGACTGCAACAACCACATAGGTCTGTTCCTGCATTTCCATCAACCTTCTGTGAGTCAGGACAGCCCATCTTACCCACCTCGCCAGATGGGTGATTGTGAAAATCAAAGGAAAACTTTGATTTATTGTGCAAACGCCAAATATTTCATTATTTTAAAGACTCACCTTAAGACATTACATTCTAATAATCCAACTTTCATTCAATATGTTTCCATTGTCAGAGAAGAAGCTGGCCGTATGGCCTTTTATTCCATGTCTTCAAGGCTAGTATTTATCAATGTTTATTTCCCTTGAAACAGATTATGTTCACATACAATCTTCTCTTCAAATTTCCTACCTATGCACCTGAAAGAAAACTTGCGAAAATCATTTGCTCAGCATCTCTCCTTAGCTGTCCTGCCACACCATTATTCCTGTGTAACATTTCTACAGACTATATTAAATAGAAAAAAAAGGGGGAGACTCAAAGAAAATCTGACTGTGAGGTCAACATACCATTGTGATCACCCACCGCTGACGTGCCCGAAATGAACGGCTGCCTTACTGCAAAAACTAAGAGTCACAAACGACTCAATTGAAGTGGAAGGACCTTGACGTTCTTTTGTTTATATTGAATCTATTAGGTCTTTCCGGGTTTTAATAATGTCGAATTTTTTTTTTTCAGAACTCCAAATATGTTTAACTCACCATTTGTGTAAAGATAATAGATCAGCTCTATAACCTCATGGCCATATAAATTGTCGATGATAACTCCTCCCCTTCTGAGTTTCTTTCTATAGGAGTGATCTTTCCTCTGTAGCTTCAGGGTCCTGCAGAATAGTGGCTTAAACCAAAGTAGCCAAGAAATAACGATTTTAACAACTTACATTCATTTTCTAAGCCCCAGACTAATGCAAAATATGAATTTTTTAAAAAAATATCCTTTTCAAAAACATAAATACATTTTATCCTAGAGCTTCACATTACTAAAAGCGGACCACCAAAATATTCTCCAAATCTAAATCATACCTTTGACCAATTTCATCACAATTTCTGATTTGTGTGATGTTTTTAACCCACATAAACGTTTCCTTTAAGAGATCATTTTAATGAAACATCTAATAATACCATAGTAATGAATATGGAAGAAGCAGAGGTATTAATGCACTTTGGCCTTAATTTAACAATACATATAAAAGGATATTTAAATGTATCCATAAGTAAATATTTGATTTCACTTTAATTACTAATTTCCTCTCGGGTATTGAAAGCCAATTTTTAATTTCCTTTTAATAATTTGCTTTGTCCTTACAGTAAATCTTTCCTTCACTGTAAGTCATTCTTGTATTACTGGCGTTGACTTACATTTATATATAGTGAAGTATATTTGTGTAACTGTAATCAACATTGTTCAGTTTTCTGTTTAATGGAGGTAGTTGCAAAGAGACTAAGCAAAATCAAATTTTAAGTAGACAAATGAAATCATGCCCACCCTTCTGCCCACACTACTACACAGATCATGCAGTCTTACCCACTCTTCTGCCCGTTTCTCACACTACTACACAGACAACCCCCGCTTTTATCTGCAAAGGGTATGTTCCAAGACCTCTGACTGATGCTTGAAACCACAGATAGTACCAAACCCTACGTATAGGATGTTTTGTTTCCTAGAAATACATTCATAAATGCCAGTGCCATTTCTCTCTTAACTAAGTGCATACACATTGTGGCTATATATTTTGCAATTTGAGATATGACAAAACTAGCACCAGCTTTTTTTCTTTCTTCACAGTTTGCACAGATAAAAGGTTTATTCTGACCAACCTTAGCATACATTTTTTTTCCATATTAAATTGAGAACATTTTCCTTTTTGCTTAAACTTTAGCACTTGGTAACTTCTCTCTGACATATCCAATCTGCTAGCATCACTACTGTTGCCCTTTGGGAACCATTATGAAATAAAATAAGGAACAGAAGCACTGTCATACAGAGACAGTTGAACTAATAACTGAAATAGCTGCTAAGTAATTCAGGAAGGGTAGTATATACACTGTGGATGCACTGACCAAAAGGCTAATTGACTTCCTGGAAAGGAAGCAGCAAGCTGGTGTGAGATTTCATCAGGCTATTCAGAACATCAAAATATTCAATGCTTATGAGTTATATATTTCTGGAATGTCTCATTTAATATGTTCTAGGTGGCCAGGCAGGGTGGTACATGCCTGTAATCCCAGCACTTGGGAAACTGAGGCAGGAAGATTGCCCTGAGTTCAAATCCAGCCTCAACTACATAATGAGACCCTGTTTCCAAAAACCCAAAAAAATAAAAAATAAAAAACTAATATGTTCTAGGTGGACTAACACAGACATGGTAACTGAAACTATGGGAAATAACCCTATAGATAAGGGCATATCTATCAAGTCTTCTTCCATTTTAAACCCTTGGATATGAGGAGAGAAGAAAAGAGATGTTATCATCACACATTCCAAACATTTAGTAATAAATAACAACCCTCATTACCTTGTTTCCAAATCAGGCTAACTTTCTTTTAAAACAAATTGACCAATTTTTCTGTATTTGTCTTTATTAAAGAAAGTCTCCCCCCCATGAGAACAGTAACAACGACAAAAAATGTTTGCATTTTTTAGGATTTACAAAAAGCTCCTATGGTGTTATTCCAGTTGAAATTTCAAATCATGACCCACATGTTGGAACTTTGAGTAAAAATACTAAATCATTAGAATACTTTCGGGACTGGGGATTTAGCTCAGCGGCGTAAGCACCTGCCTTGCAAGCAGGCAGTCGTGAGTTCGATCCCCGGTACCGATAAAAAGGAAAAAGACCAAAAAAAAAAAAAAAAAAAAAAAGAATATTTTCTCCATCCCCTAAATTTGTTGGACCCTATGAAACCATGATCTTACATGTGGAGAGAATATAAAGGATTGAATTGGAAAGTTAAGATTAGTTTATGCTCAGCTCAACTCTGAAACCACAAAACAATTTTAAAAGAAGAATTGCAGGTTGTTTTTCTTTAACACTGGGAACAGGTTTGTAATTTGACTTTTCTCTTTTCATGGATGTGTTGGACTTCTTGATAGTGTTCCTTTACTGTTCCTAATTTTGTGAATACAAAACTGTTCTCTGAAAGGTAACAACAAATTAGGTCATGTGTAGAGAATCAACATTTCCTAGTCAAATCCCTATTCAGGCACCACTTGTAGGGACCTGGCTTACTAGTTTGTCCTTACGAGGATAAAAGGCAAAAGACACGGAGTTAGTTTAAAATGCAGCATCCAGGGAGCTCTTGCTTCTAGTGAATAAAGGCCTTGAGTGGCTGGCTTTCCTTGCTTTTTTCACTTAGGCATGGGGTAAGTAATTAAGTTGCACAGATTCATCTGCTTCCTTTCATCTAAAGTATAGGCCCAGGTAAACAATTGAATCTCAGCTGTGTTGACTTTTCCCTAGACCCTGCAATGTGCCATCATCCCTGCAAGTTGTCAAAGGGGCATGCTTGTTATTTTTCTCCTTTGTGCTGACAGAGGAGGTCCATGAGGTCTCAATTCTCATTATATGATCTCCCATAGTCATTGCTTTATGAATTAGTTTTATGCATTCGCAAATGCTGTGGTTCAAATATGTGCCTTCCAAAATTCAAGTGCTGCAAAATAAGTGCCAATATCTCAGTATTAAGAAATGGAGGACTTCTGCCTGGTGTGATGGTACTCAGGCAACAGGATTAGCACAAGTTCAAAGCCAATTCAAAGCCAGTCTGGGCTACATAGTGAGTTCAAGGCCAGGATCTCACTGCATAGTGAGATCCTGCCTCAAAAAACAATGAGAAAGAGAGAGAGACAGAGACAGAGAGAGAACATGGCTGAATAGAAGAGCCTTGTTCAGAGCTACTCAGAGAAATTCAACTAAAACACAGGTAATTGGAAGAAACAGGACAGATATACACCCTGAAACTAAAATTAATCTGACGTGAGACTAACAGATCAAACAAAACATAGATAAAGAACTTAAAACTGCCAGCCAGACTACCT